ATAAACATCATGCTCAGTTGCTTAATATCAACATGAATCATCAGGCAAATGACCAACTAACTACTGACTTACCGAGAAGTCTAGTTTTACGGAACAGAACAGACCTGCATAACAAACGCATGCTCATCTGTGAGGAACTGTGTCTTACTGCAATACTGAAAGACCCTTAATTCGATCCCACATCAGCTCTGAAAAGAGGAACTATCATTCACCTTCCTAGCAGTGTCTTCAGCAAAGCATGCCAAGTCCAGCAAACCCAACACGCTTCCCCTTTCTGTGTTCACACATGCGCCACTGCAGCCGCAGGCGGCCTAATCTGACCCCTGCATGCGCCACCAACCAGGAAAAGGGAGTCAAAGTCATCAAAGCCTGAGAGCTGTACTTAAACATGCAAATAATGTCTTTGCACATCTTCGAAATGGTGCTTAACAGCATTAAATCTTACTTAAAACCCACAAAAGCACATATTTTAGGCTCACTTCAGGCCTTATGTGGTAAAGTCTGATCTAAAAATGTTGGCACATACACGCTTAACATGATACTATGGCAAAATGCTCATTTTCCACAATTTTCCCCAAATGCAGTCGATCACCTAAGACATGTTCAATTTCTGAACTTTGCTTTCTGTAGCTCTGCACTAGAGCTACAAGGCTGATGTGGTTTACAGGTCGGTATGCCAACTAGCACTGTGCAAACCACATACATACACCAAACTCTTGCCTCAAACAGTTCTGAGGTGTTTAAGACAAGTAATGTTGCAAAATGCTTAAAAAAAACAACAAAAAAAAACACAACAACAACAACAACATCTTAAACAGGTGATGCAATCATGTTTGGGTATAAAAGACGCATCCAGGAAAGGCGTAGGCCTTTAAGAGCAAGGATGTGATAAGCCTAGCCACTCTGCCAAAACAGTGTGTCAGCGAATAATCCAAGAGTTTAAGCACAAATTTCCTCAGTGAGGTACTATGCATCACAAAGGGTGAACGAATGCTTGCAATCTCATCAAAGGAATCAGGGAATCTGGAGAAATCTCTGTGTATAGGGCAGAAGCCTGTGACCTTCAATCCCTCAGATGATGCTGCATTAAAAACCTGCATGCTTCTGTGGATGATATCACCAGATGGGCTTGGAAAGTTTTTGGAAAGCCATTGTGAATAGTCACCGATCGTCACTGCATCCACAAATGCAAGTTAAGACTGTAGAATGCACAGCACAAGCCATATGTCAACAACATCCAGAAACACTGCTGACTTTTTTGGGCTCAAGCTCATCTGAAATGGACACTGAAAACGTATTTTGTGGTCTAATAAGTCAACCTTTCAGATTGTTTATGGAAATAAAGGGTGTTAAGTTCTCTAGGAAAAAGAAGAAATGGACCATCCAGACTGTTACCAGCCTAAAAGTTCGAAAGTTCAGAAGCTTAAATTACTTGTTAGCTACATTAGCCTCATACACTATATGGACAAAAGTATCGGGACACCTACACATCACACCCACAGGGGCTTTTATGACATCCCGTTCTAAATCCATAGGCAATAATATGGTGTTCGTCTCTCCTTTAAAGCTGGAACAGCTTCCACTCTTCAGGGAAGCTTTCTACAAGAGTTTCCCACAAGTCTGTGGGAAATTTTCCCCATTCATCCAGAAGAGCATTTGTAAGGTCACACGCTGATGTTGGATGAGAGGGCCTGGCAAGCAATCTCTGTTCTAGTTCATCCCAAAGGTGTTTGATGGGGTTGAGGTCAGGGCTCTGTGCAGTCCTGTCAAGTTGATCCACACCAAACTCACCCAGCCATGCCTTTATGGGTCTTGCTCTGTGCACTGGGGCTCAGTCATGCTGGAACAGAAAAGGGTCTTCCCCAAACTGTTCCCACAAAGTTGGAAGCATACAATTGTCCAAAATGTTTTGGTCTGCTGAAGCATTACCATTTCCCTTCACTGGAACTAAGGGGTCTCCGCCAAACCCTGAAAAACAAGCCCATAGCATCATCCCTCCTCCACCAAACTTTACAGTAGGTACAATGCAGTTAAGCACGTAACGTTCTCCTGGCATTCACCAAACTCAGACTCGTCCATCAGACTGCCAGATAGAGAGGCGTCCAACTGTTGGCAATAGGTGTGACTGTAACACCTAAACTCAATGGGTGTGCCCCAATACATTTGACTATATGGTGTAGCTCCAATGCACAACTAAAGAAGCAAACTTTGGACACTAAATACTGTCTTGGCTGATTAACTATATTTGGGATAAAGAGAAAATTCTGAAAAAAAATCTGAATTTTTTTTGATGAACTATTACATTAAGAGGACACTCTGACCCTCCTCGCTCATTGCTAGTATGCATTCTCTCTGCAGCCTCCGACCCAGCAGCATGAAGGCCCAGCTGTGACCACTCGATGGAATCTGGACTCCAGCAGAGAGAGTTAGAGAAACTTCAGCACTAGAATTTATAGCCCAGCAACTTACAAAGCCAGAGAGAGCTGCCTTCTTGTGCTATTAAGATTCCTCCCACAGATACAGTAAGACAGATGGGATAAGACAGCATAATTATGTCCAGGAGGCCCCAAGACTCAGATTTCAACAAGAGTTATAAAGTGTCTGCAAGTTGCTAATGTACTGCGTTGAGAGCTTTTACAGGAATGTTGTACCTTATAATGCATCATAAGCTGCACATTAATGCAAACATGATTTTTGTTGTGAACTGGGCCATCAGTATTAGGCCTGAGCGGATATGAAAATTGTGTGGATAATACTGTTACCAATTTAAAGAAAAATTCAAAAAGTGAACTGATAATATCAACTTAAAAAAAAAAAATCAGGTGATATTAATAGCCAATATTTTCATCGATGACGATAAAACTGTGATTCAACAGTTGATATTATCGGCCAATCACTATATTGGTCAAACTCTAGTCACTATTGATATTAGTAAGTGAGTAACCTACTGATTTCAATGATTAATTGTGTAAAGTCAAACAATCAATAGTTCTTCAAAGCTTCAAAAATATTTTTTGTGGAAAAAGAAGCTAGGAAGCCTTTAAAAAGATCATATGGCCCCAAATTCATATAAAATAATGCACCTTTAAGGCTTTATATCCTAATTTAAAATGGTGCAGGAACATCATGATACAACTGCCAACTAATCACTGCATATTAACTGAGAAGGTCATTTTTAATCAATATGTTTGAGTCCTCAAGTTCAACTGATTGACAGCTCTAGTTGTGAATTAATGTAAAGAAGGAAGGCTCTAGATATCTAAACAAGCACAATCACAAGCCTGGGCTTGTTTAGATGGCATGACAGAGTTTCTCAGAATAACAGCAGTCAGTTAGTCTGTTATTTCTCTGAGTGTGGGGGAGGTGATTTGGGAACGTTTCTCAGTAACAATAACAAGGCTCAGAACCCAGTAGGTCAACGTTTGCAGTCACTGTGTTTAGAAAAGACAAAATGAACGGTTTCACAAAGCGTGTACGAAAGCGCGTGCGAGCGTGTGCAATGACACAGCCACAAGGCACGAGAGGAAAATCCTGCGCTAGTGTCAGTGGGATCAAAAAATATCCCAGTGCTTCTGTGCTGAGACTACAATACAATCACAGATGTAGAACAAAAAGCTATTGTGTGGGAAAAGCTGCCCATCTCTGCTGTCATGTCAAAACTTTGAACTGACCAACAGAAACTGCTCCAAATGACTTAAAACAGAAACTTACTACATTAAAGTGCTTTAGATACATAAGTTTCAAACATATTAAGTCTGTACAAGTCTTTAAAATGGTTTTAGCAATCGTTCAATTTTTCCATTTTGGCTGAAGTGCCACTAAGGCTTTGTTGACAAACAACTACATGTTTACAGGCTTACTTTAGGTATACAGTCACTTTCAGTACATCAGATTATTGCAGGCATTTGAAAACAGAAAGAGACATAAGAACGTTTTTGCAGCCAAAAATAACCAATAACAAAAACTTTAAAAGTGAACTTATGATATTTCCCCATGAGGAAACGCAGATCCAGTTTAATGTGAAGTCACATTAATACAGCTGTCATAAGTGCTTTATTAAACTTGATAACTCAATTCAAAAGAAATACAACTTTCATTACAATTAAAACATCTGAAAGAATCAGCAAAGATTACTTGGCAATTTGCATAATGTTTATGCATGTTTTGAACTCTACTGTTTAACATTAAGACACAGAGCCTGACAGACCAGTTCATTATCCACTTCTCTTATCCAAATCTTCAAAAGGCTGTGTATGATTTGGTATTGGTCAGTATAAAGAGATTTTTATTGTCTGGCCTTTTTTAGACTCTGATGACTCCATCAGTCTGTAACTAATACAATAAAGCTCTAGGGTGACGTGATCAACGGCCAAGCACCCTTACAGTATGTGCTGATCTCCTCTCCCGTCACCCCATTCTTGCTCATTGCCTTAAGCTACAGAATTCTTTCTGCTCTCCTGCACGTAAAAGGAATGCTTTCCACCACACCTAAGCTCTGATCACATTTCCGATTTGATAAACGGCTGTCAGAAAGCGCCTGTTGTCTGAATATAACGCACAGATTAATCAAACGCACCAGACAGCTGATTGTGGGGATAACAATGTCGATGGAAAAAGTTCTGATGTGATTAGATAACCTACAGTAATGAGGTCTTGGCAAAAGTCCCACTTCACCCAACACGTGAGTGTAAAAAGGCTAAACAGAGCCAAGCCCGAGCTGAGAAGACCGAGGCACACAGTCTGTCAAAAGTTTGGGAACAGCTCGCCTTCTTTTGAAATTGGAAATTTGCCATGGTTGTGTTTTCATTAAAGGGGCATTCTGGCCTAAAACTAGAATTTAATATGCTATTTCTCACTTTATGTCGCATCCTGTAGTGCAGCATTTAATCCCTCAGCCTCATCAGTTTGACAGAATACACAACTTTGTATCTATTTTGTGTTTTCATCCATCAATGTTTTCTCACCACAGCATCCAGTCTAGACAGACAACGGTCACTTACCATTGTTGGCGTGTCTGACGCAGTCCAGAAAGACAGCGTTCCACTTCTGCTGCTCCTTCTCTGAGGCCACGCAGAAGTAGTGATGGCGCGCATATGGGTGCCACAGAATGAGTGGGAACTGTGTCGCACATTTCAGGAAGGGAGAGCTGCCCACTTTAGCTTTCACACCTGGAAAACACATACACACAAACCTGTATGAGCAAGTGACCAAGCAGATCTGTCGCCAGATGTGCTATGAATCATCATCCTTTACCATAAGAAAGTGGCCTGTCACCACAGCTGCAGACACTATAGAATGATTAAAGGGCCTTCCTGTGAACTCTGCATATGGTACACAACATAAGCAAAGCTACTTACCAACCCTTAGAAGTCCAAAGTCTACATCTTGAGTTTTACACCGCAGTTACAAGGCTAATGAAGCTAATAAGTAATAGAAGCTTTTGTACACTAATAGGCATTGTGCAATGGAAGCACTGTACATACCTAAATCATCACATATAGGGATGCATCGATATCAATACTGATACTGGGGCGATACCATGCTCATTTGGTCGTACTCTTAATACCAACATTCCGATACCCACTGATACCTGTGACGTGTGTAAGCTGCCGCGCTAATTAACAAACGAGTTACGCTGCAGTGATGGAGGATCTGTTCGTAAAGACAGTGTTACTGACACTGTGGAGGTCGGATACAAAGTTTCTGGTCACTTTAAACTATTCGCCTTGACAAATTCACGCCAAACCTACAGTGTGCGATTTTAGCCTGTTTATAAACACACAATCATAACCGCTTCCCCAATACGGTGAACCGTTGGTCAGGCAGACAGAGGCAAAAAGTCACATTTTCTACCAAAGTCCATATATGCCAACTTTACTCTGGTTGACTGAATATAATAGGGAGGTACAAATGTTAATACTGTGATTTTTTTGTAAAATATGCTGTAGAGAGACAGCAGAGTTTGTATCCATCACCACCTGGCTTTTAGCTTCAGTGCTCAGTGTTAGCTGCACTGCTCGGTTTCTCTTTGCTCAGTACTCTGTGCACAGTGTGTTAGTTTCAATGAAACAGCTTTGAAACTGTCCACAGATAGAGCGTTTCATGAAGCATGGACAGAGCGTTTTCATACAGTCTGAGTATATAAATTGTAGGCTCTGTCCGAACATGATGGTCTGTTCAAACTTACAGTGTGAGACACCAAAGAACAAGATTTCTAAAATCACACAGTGCATGTCTGGTTTTAGAGGACATTCAACTACAGCTTAACCAGCCAAACAAAAGACTTCAGACGTAAAACTCCACAAGTGAGTTTAGATGTTGAGACAGACAGATCAGGACTCAAACCTATGAAACGTGCTTTATTTACAGCTGTACAGAAGCACTTTTCTATCGTGGACCCAAATATGCTCTTCTCCACTGTAGCACTACTGAATAATGCAGCATAGCGAGCTAATGCACGTCATTTAAAATCAGCTAGATGTGAATGATGTAACGGTTAAGCCACACTGCACTCGTTTACACTAAAAACTACTCAATTTGAAGTAGGTTACTCAGTACAGTAGCAGACTTTGTATCAGCGAGCACTAAAAATATGTACTCATACTGAAAACAATGGTAGTGATGCAGCCTTGATCACACACTTACCTCAAACCACATCTAGTAATCTCAAATAAACCTGCTTATATCATTTCTGACACTGTATGATTCAATGTTATCTATGAACACTGACCAAAGTATTTTGCATAACTAAAAACAGAAGCAGCTGCTATCTTGAACTCTGAATTTCAGCTCCAGTGCAAAACTAGAGAAGCAAACCTTTTATCTTTGCTAATGGACCAGATTTGGGGTGGGGAGGGGGGGGACCTGTAAATCTGATATTTTGGCAAGGTATTACTACTTTTTGCCCCCCCACTATTTCTTTCTTTTTCACCCTCCCTCTCCATCCCTCCATTTCTCCACCCCATTCCAGTGCTCACCTGGGAGGCTGGATTCAAGAAGTTCCAGGTATTTCTCCATGGATGTCAGCACTCTATAACCAGCACAGTTGATTGTTCCTTTGGGTTGGAGACCTCGATCATGAGCCTAATTGGAAACAGATGTGTATACAGTTATGGACTGTAGTTAAACAGACACTGATATTCCAGACCTCATACTTTTACTTTAACATACTGTTATGTATAATGTATTATGATAATAAACTGCCATAATTTTTCACACTCTGTTCCAAATGTAGATCCAATAAGTTGTTTCACACATTCTTAAAAATGACGGTTCTTAAATTGTTCCAGACTGGGACATAATACTTAATACAAAATAAATAATAACACAAAAATACTTCATTGGTGCTGAACATTTACATTATGTGGAGGTTCTTTACATTTTTAAAAATAGTTCTTTAAAGAACCATCAACTGAATGGGCCTTTAGGGAAACCAAAGGTGTTTCTTCCATATATGCCTTTTTGGCACCTATATTTTTTAAAGGCATTCCAGCCTTAAAGGCCCAGCACAATATATTTGTCCTCCTTACTCAAAAATGTTATATTAGCAAGAAGTTTGTGATTATCTCCATATTTCTGCTTCAGTCCAACATCTGGGCACTGCAGAGTTTTTTTATTTTATTTTTTTTATTTTGGCACTGGAACCCCACAAAAAAGGAAGATAGCATGCTAGTATAATGTTCATCCAGCTTGTATTCAGATCATTTTGGAGTTATACATTTACAGTTAACAATATGAGGCTGAAGCTGGCTTCCTATTCACCGGCTTCTTGTTCGAATTTTTCCGTTCCACCTTAAATGGTGCAGCTGTTGTTATAATGCCGGCTACACCACTTAAGGTGGAATGGGAAAATTCAAACAAGAAGCTGGCGAATTAGAAGCTGACTTCAACTTCGTGTTAACATAGTTGAAATGCAAAAGCTTCGATTAGCTGGCTAACAAACAAAATTCTAAGGTGTAGGCGCCTCAGTACAGCGCAGGCTGGAAATCGGACCATATCAACGCAGCCTCGCTTGTATGAACCTGAAGAGGGAGATTCTGGACAAGAACCAAAAAGGGTTCTTCTATTGTTACAAGCTTGACATCGTAACAATAGAAGAACACTTTAAGATGCTTCATAGAACCTTTTTCAAAAAGGCTCCATATACAACCATACACAGCACATTCACCATCAATCTGAAGAACCTTTCACAATGCAAAGAATCCTTTAATCATGCAAAGGGTTCTTTGAGTTTTCATGGTTCTATATAGAAACATTTTCTTTACTAATGAACCCTTGAAGAAGCATTATTTTTAAGCAATTCACTGCAATGATGAAGCCAGTTAAGACGGTCATACACCTAAAGTATTAAGTTACACCTTCAAGATCAATTATCATCAAATGAGGGTTTTTCTAGCCTGTAAACCAGAAAATCTCACTCTGCAGAGTCACTGCAGGATGTGAGCAAGCATGTTTACAACAGATGCAGTGACGGAGTACATTTTTATTTTGGCTGGAGTGCCCCTTAAGAGTGAGTCTGGATGTTGTAGGGGTCTAACACTTAATGACCAAGTTAAATTGTCTGGTCACGTTAATTAATAAGCGTTATTGTTCTCACCACCTACCGAAAGACTCATTAAAGTTCAAAAAGTTCTCACCTGATTGCTTTCATAGTAGCTGATGTTGTAGGTGTCTGGAACGAAGAGAAAACGACTCCGCCATTTTTTGTTTTCCTCCAAGTACTGGTAGAGTGAGCCTGAGAAGATAGACTTGTTCTCAAGCGGCACCTAGAAACATCGCAAAGACAAAATAAGAACCGAAATCAATCACAAGACACATCCTGTTCCAGCTCAGAATAAGAGAAGACTGATATTTACTCCTTTGGCTTCTAGAGGATCATTTTCCCAAATTATACTCTAAGCAGAGATGTTTGCACTGGAAGTACTTTAGGTCAGTGTTGTGTTTACTTAAACATCTACTCAACCACAGATGGTGCGTGTGTGAGCACAGTCATGAGATGAAAGACTCTAAGAGGAATGTGCACCAACAAACACACAAAAATCTGCCTAAACTGAACAAAATGAACTAATGCAATCTTTACTGCAGCATTAGAGACAACAGAGAGTACAAACAGTTCACATTAAGAGAGGTGCAGTAAACCTAAAGCACTCAAACAAATGACATTCAAAGTTCAGTCAAATAAAACCTCTTATACTCAACTACGTTACAAAGAACTGGTTTAGAGACAACCAGTCAATGCTATTTCAAATGATTGCTGTCATGAAGGTTTGTTGAAGCAGAGTAGTAAATAATCAATGGAGAAGAAAAGACAAGAAGAAAGGACATAGCAAAAAACCTGAAGCTTGGTAAATGAAAGCATCTTCCATGCAAGATTAATATTTCATAAAATGAAATGATTGTATAATTAATACTAATCATTTTTTTCTCTTATAGCTACACTAAGTTTTGGAGATTTGAAGACCTCTCTGGTGGAAATGTGAAGAACATTCTGTCTTGTACTTTGTGCGTCAGAATTATTTGGATGTATCTGAGACCTCAGCATTGCGCTTGACCTTCTTTTTGAGTCTGTGTATGAGATTTTAATACATAAAGACACGTAAAAGGAAAACGTCTGTGAAATCTGACCCTATGCCTCTGATTTAGATTATCATTTCAGACTATTAGATAAACATATGATTTATTGGAGATACAGATATTTGTAGATATTCAAGACACACAAACACACCACCCATTTGATTTATCCTTTCAAATATGTTGCACATAGAACCTTTAGATGGCTGCAGTGGCCTTTCCACGTGTCTCTAACTAGACTAACATTTTTAACTTTAACTTTTTAACATCTGACCAAAGCATAACCTGTAGGCCATACTGCCATAGTTCAGACAACTCATTGATCCTTAATATGAGAATGTATAAAGTTAAAGAGAAGCTCATTTGCTTATCAAAAGTCTAAATTTATTATTTGACTGTTTACACATTCATTGTTATTTGAACTTTTGAAAATTCTGAAGCATTTCTTACTGCATTTAAGATGTTTTCACTTGCCAACAGGGATGGAAATGATTAAACAATTAACCACAAAACAAAACAACTGATCCACCAATGCTGTTGTCTTATTTTTTTTATTTATGACAAAAACAACATTTTCTACTTAAATAAGCAGGTTTATCATTCAAACTGAGGAATGTTTTTAAATTGCATGCATGAGGGTGCAAAAGGCATTTGGCTGTGCTAGATAAGGCTACTAAAAAAAAAAGAGCATGCAGCTAAAAACGGTGGTGTTCAGGAGCCCTTTTGGAGTGGAGGACCGATGTACTGTATCAAAAACAAACATCTGCATGTGATCAGACAGATATTGTGTTTTTGAGAGAAAGTGTGATGCACGGAGGTTTGAGGGAATCACACATGGGAGTGCAGAATTACAGAGAAGAATGTTTTAGATGGTAACAGCTTTCAGGACCTACTGAGGCTTTTGAGACTCAAAGTTATCTGTGGTCTTGGCATTTATGATCATTTTTAAATTAGATGAGTAATGGTCATATAGGCGGCACGGTGGCGCAGTGGGTAGCGCTGTCGCCTCACAGCAAGAATGGCCTGGGTTAGATTCCCGGCCGGGCGACCAGGGTCCTTTCTGTGTGGAGTTTGCATGTTCTCCCCGTGTCTGCGTGGGTTTCCTCCCACGGTCCAAAAACATGCCGTCAGGCCAATTGGACATGCTAAATTGCCCCTAGGTGTGTGTGTGAATGTGTATGTCTGTCTGTCTGCCCTGCAATGGACTGGCGACCTGTCCAGGGTGTGTCCTGCCTTCCGCCCAATGACTGCTGGGATAGGCTCCAGCACCCCACCGCGACCCGGAAGGATAAGCGGTTTAGATGATGGATGGATGGATGGTCATATAATCATGAAAACAGTTTCCAGCCCATTGGTTTTTATACACACCGCCTTAAACGATCCATATTTTGGTACGTTAACACAGAATTCAGCTCATGTGCGAGTTCATAAGTGTTTGTATATCAAGTATTTTGCAATGACTTTGAACGCAGCTCAGCCAATCAGATTTCAGAGCCAGAAATACAAGTTTAGAACCGACATTTTAATGGGTCGTGTCCTTGATTTTACGCTTGCTGGTTAATGAATAACTGCTGACTAATGAGAGCTGGTTACTGGTCAAACACATTTGCGTTTCTATTTGGCAAGATCTGATTTTTTGGAGTGCAGAACTCTTACCTTGCGGTGCAGCAGCTGAGGTTGAGGCCCGCCTCCTCCCTCCACATCATAACGAACTTTATTAAAGAGAGCCACGACATACTGCTGCTCGTACAGCCGTCCGAACTCCCCCATCACCTCACCCGTCCGCACTGCAGGACAGAACACGCAACAGGAGACACGGGTCAACACAGACCACAGAGAGAAAGAAAAACACAGAGATGCAACACATAGATGTATAAAACATACAGAGCCCATTAAATGTTTGGGGACACTTTTGCTTTTCTAATTGCTTTTAATACAAGCTTGATTTTTTCTTCTGACAACTTGCAATAATTTTACATATTAAATATAAGACAAAGAGCACATTTTATCTCACTGTTACGATGTCAGCACTCATAAGCATTCAAATCTTTGAGGTGATTAAACCGCTTTTGGGTTGAAAGAGTTCCCATAAGCACTGATAATAACAGTTTGGAAAAGAACAGAACTGTCAAATCATTTTACAGGCAAAACCTGCTCTTCACACCGAGAAAGGTATTTTGATGAACATGAAGCTGAGAGTTGAAGCTAAATATACTCAACATTCAACACTTGCAATTCATTAACAAAACTACGGAGTCCTGCTGGTGATAACCTGTATAGACAAAAATAACGAGATCTTAATGCACGCTCACAATTTAGTAAGGAGTGGGAATGAGATAATTAAGCCTTGACCACAGCTTAATAAGGCAAGATCTCGTTCTCACGCCTTACTAAGTCATGGCCATGCAATAACATCTCGTTCTCACACGTTAATGCAGCGTGGCCACGCATTATTTTCACTTATATGGGATGTCACAAGTACGGCTCCATACAAAACAAACATGTTTAAACAAACGTGTGATATTTACACCAATAAACTGCAACATTCTTCTACTTCAGTGCATCAAAGTGCAGGAGTCGACCAAGCAGCAATTTGTGCTTTCTCTTACCTGCAAACGAGGCCCTGTTTTAGCTTAGAAAGCACAATACTATACTGATAATAAAGAAAGAAGGAGATGATGCTGCTGTGAACCCAAACTAAGCTCTTTACTTGGAAAACACACACACAACATGCAGGGTGTAGGTGCCACAGCTCTCAGCAGGCTAAACTCCACAAATACGACTATCAAACTATCTCTCTCAAAAACGTTATCCAAAATATAAAATATAGACTTTTTTCCTCCAGATAGGAAGGTAGTTTAGGTAGTGTTCCAGGTAGTTTAGCCTGTTTAAAGCATGTTGCTTTGAAATGACCTATGTTGCAATAAACTATTACTAAAAGTAATTTGACCGATTTCAGTTTATGCCTGAGAAATATTAGCAGAAGTCTTTTAGGAATCAAATCAAATCAAATTTATTTGTATAGCGCTTTTTACAACTGATGTTGTCACAAAGCAGCTTCACAGAAATCCGTTTAGAACAACGTTTCAACATGGAATCATTTTAATGCATGATAATATTCCTTAATGACGCTTAAATCAGTGTGAATAAACAAATTAACTGTTCAGTGTAACGAATCGTTCTCAGTTTACAAAAAGCACTTTTGAATTCAACAGAAAAGCAACGAATCATGAATTGAAATTGATTTGCTTGCTTATTCAGCCTTATTTCGCAACATTATACATAGTTTACTGTAACGCCACCTGATACGATCAACTTTAACAAGAATACTGTAGTGATGTGTTATGTTAATGTTATGGACAAACTGACTCTACAAAGTTACTACAGTATGTCAGAGAAATGAAAAGCACTTTACACCCTGCTCCTTTGTAATGAGCAGCTTTAGTGTATCGGCACAGAGTAAAAGATTAACAGTAATTTACACTCTGCTCTTTGTGCTTTATCAAAAGCAGCAGATTGCAGTGTTTGAGCTGCACTGCTCTGGGCCTTCACACGCATGACTGTGTGACTGTACCAACATCAGAGCTGGCATGGGAACAACACTGTGCCTTTATTAACCTGTTTGTGTTCTTGAAAAGGCCAAATTTCAAAAGATTCATGTTGGAGCAGTTCCAGGGCAGTATATTAGGGCCTCAACTGTGAAACATATTTTGAAGGGTGTGGGGTCTGGTGGGCATCCAGCAGGGGGGAGAAAATTCTGGCCCATTTGTTTAGAAAGCATTTAGTAAGAGAGCATGATTAATGTGAGCGAGAGTGAGCGAGAGTGAGCGAGAGTGAGCGAGTAAGAGCATGAGAAAATGCTGTGATGAGCCCAAAACAGTTCACTGCAAGCAGCCCCACCCACAAGATAAATTAACCATGACCTCTACCAGTTAAACGATTCAAATGAACTCAACCACAGCATAAAACAGTTTTATTTAGTAACTTTAAAGGGTGTGGTGATAATAATAATAATAATAATAATAATAATAATAAGGCAATGCAAACCTATGATATGACATTGTGGAGAATGGACATTCTGTTAATTATGGGAGTGTGCGTTCCGACTAATTTTAATATTTGAATATCTGCTCGTTAATGAAATGACACTGCAGGGTAGGAAATAAGTACAAAAATTAATATGTGGGCTTATTCTTTTAGGTGACTGGTCAGGTGTAAATAAATAAATAAATAAATAAATAGATAAATAAATAAAACAAACAAACAAACAAACAAACAAACAAACAAACAATCACTAGAACAAAAGTTTAGCACCAAGCAGAGGAATAAATTTGAAAACATGGTGTTATTATCAAAAAACCAAACACATCCTTTGTTTTCATGTTGGATGAGTAACAGAGACTGTCTCTTCAGATCGGAGCTAAAACTACAGCTAAGTGGTAACTTGGTAACAAACACTGGATGCTGAAGAGAACTTGTCTTACACAAGGTGTTTCCCCTGAGTGGACAATATGCCAACATGTAGTTTTCCAGAGAAATATCGATCCACTGTTCCTGGACCTAGCTAACATGAGCCAGGATAGCTAGTCCAGCTAGCAACAAAGAGACACTACGTCTGCCTGATCATTTTTTAAACAATTATCTGCCAATGCTAATACAAATATGATATCATCATGCACTGATTACCCACCCACACTCCTAAAAAAAAAGATAGTGCCTCAATGTTTCTTTAGTAAAGAAAATGGTTCTGTATAGAACCAGGAACACTCAAAGAACCTTTTTGCATGATTAAAGGATTTGTTGCATTATTAAAGGGTTCTTCAGATTGATGGAAAATGTGCATGGATGTGCTATAGATGGTTCTGTATAGAATCTTTTTAAAAAGGGTTCTATATAGCACCCAAAAGGGTTCTTCTACTGTTACACGCTTGACATCATAACGGTAGAGGAACCCTTTTCTGGTGCTATATAGAACCCTTTTCAAAAACAATCTATGTAGAACCATCTATAGCACATACTCCAACAATCTGAAGAACGCTTCATGATGCAAAGAACACTTTAAATCATGCAAAGCGTTCTTTGAGTGTTCACGGTGCTATTATAGAACCTTTTCTTTACTAGAGAACTGTTGAAGCACCATCTAATTCTATTGCTCAAAGACTTATACTTTTAGTGTTGGTCATCAAAAAAATCTTTTGGAGCCATTAATGGACAACAAGCAGACCTCATGTCTAAAGCAGCTTTTCAAAAGTCCAACACATTTCTTGTCAAAATTATATAAATGTTATGAAAATAGAAAAGATGAAAAAAAGCCTGATCTGTGACCGTAATCACCTACTGGCCATTTGGAGAGAGCTCTGCTGCCCCACCCACAGCCTGACCGTACTTAGTGAAAGGCCTCCAGCGTCACATACAGGACTGATCATTATCATGTTATCAAGAAACTGGAAGAATTAGAACACAAAATGAAGATGTTGACTGGCAGGACTAATACTGACCCTCTACAATATGAGCCACAGTGGATGCAATATTTGCCTATTATTTTCAGTGTTTCTAATAGATGCAAATAATGTAGTCGTGCAGTATCATTTTTAAGACCAAAAACAGACACATAAAACCAAATGTTTTCCAAATGTTGCCATCAAATTTCAGCTCTCAATTTTTCTGTGGTATACACACTATTCAGTCTGAGATATGCGCCAAACACATATAAAGCAAAGCCACAGGAAAGATGGATTCCACTTTCAGAGCCCATCTGCTCCACACCACACTAATGAAACGTCTCTCTGGCTTGGAGAAAATCACGAGCGAGCCGTTATATTTCCTCCATAAGGCTGCAGTGTATAATTAACTGAACTGCTAAATCCATTTAGAAGTCATCCAGCACTAAAGAGAGGTGGATATGAGGGAGGGAGGTTGACAAAGTTCACACGGATCATTTCTTCCCTTCAGTCTTGCCATAGTGTTGCTTCTTAATAGGCCTGGAGAACAGCACACTCATAAAGCTGCTTGTGCTATTGCAGAATCACTAAGTGTACACTTGTGAAAGAGTTATTGGACTGTCTGTTTGTGCAAGCTGCATAAATAAAATAATCGTCAAATAATGTTGATTTACAATGACAGCAGGCATGAGGCAGCTTCTCTTAGAGAGGTGCACAGCCAATGCTTTTTGCCAATTTATAGAAAAATGTAAATATCATTATTGGCCCAATATTACATTTACAACCAAAAATAACAACCAATGACTTGGCGATTTACTAATCTGTGCTCTTTCTAATGCAACTTACGCACAGTCACAAGTAAAATGGCTAGCACAGTGGATAACACTGTCTCCCCATCCAGGCAGGAATGCCATAAGAGTCCATGGGTTAAACATATAGTGCTATAGTCAGCCACCACTGCACACTGCTCTGGATAAAAGCATCTGCTAAATACATAAAATGTATTGCCCCCTATTTTGAGCTCTGCCTTCTCAAGACTTTAGACTGGTGTAAAATTGGTTCCCACCCTAATAAGTGGATGTTTCCACCCACAGCTAGCCCGGAATGTCTTATGGTTGTCAGCAGATATGTTCGCTACAGTGGAGATGTCTGAATCCGTGAGACTGTCACGGCTAATCAACCATCCATCAATGGTTCATCCATGAATTCCAGTGTGAATTTGGAAAAAGAGCAGTTGTCAGTGTATGCACCCACAAGAAGGTGTTCATGACCATCATCATCATCATCATCATCATCCTCCATCATCATAATCATCAAGCCAGAAATTCAATATAAATGCATCCCAT